CATAGTTTCCAGTACCCTTTGGTGTCACGTTCTTGGGTGACACAGTAACTATAGGCTTGGAGGGTCCCACTGCATATACGCCCACACTGCCACTGTTCCACTTTGGTGTTGAATTATATTGTCTAGATTGATTTGGAGTACCTTTGGTACTCTGTGGTTTACTATTATTGGTTTCTGAGGGTTTACTTGGTGGTTTTAATTTGTCATGTGTTCGTAATTGATGAACTACTGACTTTAAACCTTCAGATATTTCATTCATGGATAAGATACTTTTATTGTAATGAGCACTCATTTGTCTCAATATGTCCCTAGGTACTTTCTCCTGGACAATTATTTTCAAGACCCACTCAGCCCCGTTTGTATCTGCTGTCAGGCTGAGGGCATTGATCAATGATTCTACCTCCAGCTTGAAGACTTGGAGTGAATCAACTGAAGCCTCCGGTGGGGGTAAATGCAACAGCTCATGAACTAAATGTGATGTTCTTACTTCTGGATCAGCATAATTATCCTTGAGGAGTTTTACTGCCAGATCATAGCCGTCATTAGTTAATCTCAGATGGGATACTACTGTTTTAGCCTCACCTGATAATTGGCCTTGCAAATAAGAGAATTTACTACTCTTTGGTAAAGATTGTTTTGAGTCTACAAGGTCAACGAATTTGTTCCAAAATTCGTCCCAATCTTCCTCATCTTTTCCTGAGAAAGTGGGTAAATTAATTGGAGGGAGTCGAGCTTCTGCTTGACTCGTATTAGATGCAACTGTTGTTGTTGTTGCTGTTGCCTTGTTCTGGGCAATTAATTTGACATAAGGCTGTAACGTGGCCTGAGTTTGATCTTCATAATTCGCAAGATCAACCATAATGTCGTCTATTTCTGTTTCTGATAAATTAGTGTTGGCAAGTTCAGCCACATATGTTGCTATTTGACATTTGATTTGCTCAAATTTACCTGCAGCTGCTTGATAATAGCTTTCCAGGTCAGCATAATCAACTGTTGATTGTTGTGACAAATCTTCACATTTCTTGATCTGTCTTGTTAAGTGGCCTTTAAGACCTGCAAGGGTTCTTTTCATTCTCCCTGCATTATCCATACTGGCTCGTTGGTGAAGCCTTGTGGGACTTGTACTTGGGCTGCTCATAATACTGAACAAACACTAATGGTAGCCTAGGGTAAATTCTGAACTCACTAGGCAATAATCCTACCTCTACTAGAGGTTAGCACTTAAAATTAATACACATTATATATATACAATCATCCACACTAATGATTTGAGTGATAAACCAGTGTCACTGGAAGTACCTTTAGGTTAGCTCTTCTATATCACCCCAGGATGGTAGAGACACTAATTAATCACTCAAAGGTGTAATGATCATAAGTAAATTATTATATATACAACTCAACTCGAGTTGATAAAAATTACACCCAAAATAGGGTCTGGACCATTCATTAATGGTGCTAGGTTGTTCAATATAGTACAACTGACTATTGTAATAATGGGACTAGGATGAACAATAATAGTTCAACTAGTCATATCCTACCCTGTTGTGGGTTGGCAATTAGTAAATATTATACTGTGATCACTAGTGCAATATATATTAAATAATTCTCTATCTTGGAGAAATAATATACACAATTATTGATAATAGCCTCTTAATTAGCCTCTATGAAACTTCTAATATTATCTAGAAGTATTAAATGTTATTAGTGACCTCGCGAAATAAAGTCCACAAAATTCGTGGATAATCTCTCGCGAAATGTAACACCACGAAATCCGTGAACAATCTCGCGAAGACACAGTCACTAATTTGGCTGGTTTCAATATTAGCGCTGTCATTTCACGAAATAACACGCCACCAAATATCTGTGGGTGTGCATGAAACCGCTGACGAAGCTGAACTCAGTTGAGGGAGGCTCCTGAGCTCCCACGAGGCTTCGCCGCTGTCTTTGACTGGCTTTGTTTAAATAACACTGCACTAGTATATTTAATGAATCCACTGGTTTGGTTAACTGGTTCATCCGGTACTAAGATGACCAAATGTGGGTTCAAAGGATCAAATAATCCGTCATCCGGTTCGAAGATGACCAAATAATGTGGGAACCGACCTGTGAGATTTATATTTATTTAATTTATATGAATTTATATTTACGTTAATTTATATACTTCGATAGCAATTTGTATAATGATAAGTGGACTGTATTTCTGCAATAATCTCAATCTCACAAATCGATCCTCTACACATTAGGGGGGGTTATTAAATTAATATATATGCAGCCAATCAAACTATAGTAATAGCTACATACATTGATGAGGTTCCTTATCTTATAGTACAGCAGGTTAGTCCACCAGGTATAACTAGGGTGTAGACACCAAATTATCCTCTTTGAGGTAGCTTCTATCACCCAGTAACTGGTGCACATACTCTTCCTCGTCTTGACCTGTCAAAAGGGCGCTAACTGTGAAGCCAGAATCCTATATATGACAAGTTATATCAGAGAAAACACTATACAGTACATGGAACATTAAAGACCTGGCTTAATTACCTTTAGTATGAGGCGATTTCGCGTTCTAACCGGCTAACCCTATATCCTGACATTAATGGCCATAAATGAATGATAAACGGGTTTCGGATAGACACTTAACTTGTATTTGTAGACAGCGTGTTGACAATGGTACACCTTTGGGTTCCATAACACTACGTCCAAGTAAATTTAACAGGAGCCGAATTTGCTCCCGTGTGAGCCTCTGGTCTCAATAACAACAATGATGGCTGCCCTCCTCCTCCACTCTGACGCCTGGCTTACATTGTCCAGATTTCAGAACGTGATAGAAGGGTCACATTTACTCTACTTTAATATTGATAATTAAGTTAATTTATATAAGATGTTTTTATGATGGTAAAGTCCAAAGACTAATGTATTTAAGAATAATTCCCAGCAGAATAGCTGGTGAATTATAATAGTATGTGGTGATGATATCCCGTTTTCTATAGACGGTAATTCCACTACAAGTTACGTTTTCTATGGGTAACTTGTTGGTAATACAGCTATTATCTGTATGATTATTAAATGGTGTCGGATTTTCCGACAGATTTTATATGGCAATAAACATGCTATAAATACAACAACTATCATAGGAAATTAAATAAGTATTATATATATATATATATATATATATATATATATATATATATATATATATATATATATATATATATATATATATATATATATATATATTTATCGAAATAAATCCATAAGAAAACATAATTTGGGTGAGTAGCTCTCGTAGCCCTGGGCGATTTAATGTAAACATTGGCATGTGGAGGCAAAACAAGGACAAACTTCTTGTGCCCATACAGTAAGTAAAGTATTTTACTCACTGTTTACTTTTGATGCTAATTGAAGTAGCAAACATGGCAGGAGGGTATGTTGTTGTTGTTGATTTAGGGGCGACGACGATCGTGGGATCGGATGCGCCCCGGCGTACCCCTATAGGGTTAATCGCAAAACCGAATGACACACATGATTGGAGAGCCCCAGGAGTCCCTCAGGGTGACAAGCACCGGCCCCGCCCCCTCACAGAGAACACTGGGTAAGAAAACTAAAAACTCGGTCCCCAACTAGACACCAAGACCCACAACTCCCGGTACCTCTCACCCAAGCCGGCGCCGGACACTGTCAACCCGTCGGGAGAACCAGCCAGAAAACGTTCAAAATCTATTAACAATCCTGTGACCCAATGCGGTATGTGCGCCAAGTTTCGTACAAACCGGACCGTTGAATAAGGATGCCAAACGGCAGTATCAAATCCAAAATCGCGACGTCCAGACGTCAACTCGTCGTCAAGGATGAACCAGGAGTCGATCTGGCAGGAGGGTATGACTACTGTATGACGTGTGAGAGGAAAAATTACTCACAGACATCAGAAAATTGAATGTGTATTGTGCTTCAGAAACACCAAAGCATATGTTAAAATATCTCTGATAAATTAATAGAGGCGTACAATATTTAGCCAACCGAAGGCAAACGCCTTTTTCATTTCAATTGCAAACCCTACAGTAAACCTAGCAAGGGCCTAAATGACCCAGGCATTTACTGAATGCCTGGGTTACTGGAAACAGTAACTGGCTAATCAGACAAAGGACTTCCGGTAGATGAAGTTTACATGACTTTTCTAAAGCGTTTGACAAGGTACCACATGAGAGCCTGGCAAGGAAATTACAGGCACGTGGAATAAATGGGAGAATACTGGAATTATTAAAATAATGGTTAAAATATAGAAAACAAAGGGTCGTGCTAAATGCAAATGAATCTGACTGAGGAAATGTGCTTAGTGGGGTCCCACAACGGTTCATTTTGGGGCCAACTCTTTTGTCATATACATGAATGACAGATGAGAATATTACAAACCACATCAGATTTGCAGATGACACTAACGTCTAGGGTAAAGTGGGATGTGAAAGTGATATCGAGACTTCAGAGAGAGATCTTCCTGAGCTCCACAAATGCTCAGATGACTGGCAAATGCTCTTTAATGTCGATAAATACTAGACCTTGCATGTGGGGCACAACAGTCCACGCCACAACTACCAAATTGACAGCAGTATCTTACAACAGATAGATGAAGAAAAGGACCTTTGAGTCTGAATCCATCATTCACTAAAAGTTGTCCAACAAGTGGGAGAGGCAGTAACAAAAAGCGAACCAAACCCTAGGAATAATCAAGCGGACCTTTACCTTCAAGGAAAAGAAAGTAGTCCTTCAACTGTGTAAGTCTCTGGTGCGCCCCCACCTGGAGTAATGCATCCAGGCATGGAGACCTCATCTCTAGAAAGACATTACTTTGGAGAAGGTGCAACACCGGGCAACAAAAATCATACTAGAGCCTAGTCATCTCTTGTATCAGGAACAGGTGAGGACCACAGGGCTAACAACGCTGCAGACCAGGCATGAGAGGGCGGATCTAATAGAAACCTTCAAAATACTAAACAATTTGGACGATGTCGATCCGGACAGTTTCTTCAAAAGGTCAGATGTAACACGAACGAGAAGCCACGGTTTCAAGCTCAATGGTCACAATGTTGGACAGAAAAGAGGATATGCCTTTTCACCCATAGAGTTGTAAACCGGTGGAACCGCCTACCCGCCGAAGTCGTAAACGCCAAACCTGCTAAGTTATAAAATACAGATACAAAAGATCATCCAGGCAAATGGGGGGGGGGCGACTTTTGACAAGCCGCCGGCTTCCTGTCCTCGTCGAGGCCCCTAGTATTAGTGGCCCCTCAGGTAAATTCAGGAGTAATTACCGTACATAGTTACGAGTAATTATGGTTCAAAAAATTGTTGGCATCCTTGAAGAAACTCCAGTGAAGTTCTAAACTGGCTTTAGGCCAGTCTTTTAAACACGCATCTACTACGGAGGCTGGGATTGGTCAGCGCTGTAACCAGTGAGTGTTTACGAGGCCACGTGGCGCAAAGGTAAACACTTCGCATACACTTACACACACTCACGTTTAAAGCCCACTTACACTTAAGAAAACATTCTCTCATGCGTAGGAAAGCTTTTACATCTTCAAGACACTTCAACCACATTCCAGAGGTCGTTTGTGGCGTAGAGCAGCGGTGCCACAGCCAGGTGTGTGTGGCCAGCAGCTGTGCCACAGCCAGGTGTGTGTGGCCAGCAGCTGTGCCACAGCCAGGTGTGTGACCAGCAGCGGTCCCACAGTCAGGTGTGTGTGGCCAGCAGCTGTGCCACAGCCAGGTGTGTGTGACCAGCAGCTGTGCCACAGCCAGGTGTGTGTGGCCAGCAGCGGTGCCACAGCCAGGTGTATGTGACCAGCAGCTGTGCCACAGCCAGGTGTGTGTGACCAGCCGCGGTGCCAGATGTAATTCACTGAAGCCCATAAAAACTCACCAATCAGCAAGGAAGGACTCCTTTTAGACAATCAGGTTCCCACACTATCAGAGAATTCTATGAATCTTGAGAGAATAGTCTGAATAACCATGACAACACGGCACTAACAGGTACTGAAGCTCTTGTTTACACGTAGGGACTCACAGGAGTCAACAGGTGGAGCTAGACTACGCCGTGACACAAGACTGTCAACAGGTGGAGCTGGACTACGCCGTCACACAAGACTGTCAACAGGTGGAGCTAGACTACGCCGTCACACAAGACTGTCAACAGGTGGCGCTAGACTACGCCGTCACACAAGACTGTCAACAGGTGGAGCTAGACTACGCCGTCACACAAGACTGTCAACAGGTGGAGCTGGACTACGCCGTCACACAAGACTGTCAACAGGTGGAGCTGGACTACGCCGTCACACAAGACTGTCAACAGGTGGAGCTGGACTACGCCGTCACACAAGACTGTCAACAGGTGGAGCTGGACTACGCCGTCACACAAGACTGTCAACAGGTGGAGCTGGACTACGCCGTCACACAAGACTGTCAACAGGTGGAGCTGGACTACGCCGTCACACAAGACTGTCAACAGGTGGAGCTAGACTACGCCGTCACACAAGACTGTCAACAGGTGGAGCTAGATTACGTCGACCCAGAAAGCTCTCAACCCTTCCCACAAACGTTCCAACAGAAGCGCTTTGGCACTGAAGTGAACAATGTGTCCTCGAATCGAACAAAACTCGCCATGACCAAGACCTGTGTCAATTATGCTGTAAACTCATCCCTAACGATTCCCCGGTAAACTCGCCACGAAGTGATATCAATACAGAAGTAAACTCACCCCGGGCCAGGGAGGAAGAGTAGAGGCGGGAGAGTGAGGCGAGAGCGCCCCGGACCCCCACCTATATGTATATCTAAACGCGCTGATATCACTTATCTTGATTCACAGGACGAGAGATAAGACCAGGCGTAAGATCTAGCTCAGACCTCGTAAGAGGGGGCCAGGATTCATCAAGCATTTACGAAGCCACTTACGGAACCACTACATCTTTATTTATTAAAGAGCCTACGAGCGTGGAAACTTCACAACCCATGGTTATTACTGGCATAAACAACCTCCTATAGTACTTCGCAGCTCATAAACGGATTAATAAATGTAAACAAAGCTGTCATATGATTAAGGAAAGATGTACTGGTTTCGTAAGCGAATCCTGGTTCCGTCTTTGGAAAGAACCTTTTGAGACAGTTTCTTCACAGCGTAAGAGTTGCGGGGTCGTTGGACTATTTCAGGCGTAGTTTCGTCATATATCAAGTAGTTTGGTTGGATATAAAGAGGAGCTACCTAGCCTGGGGTCAATATAGGAGCTGCCTAACATGGGTCAATATAGGAGCTGCCCAACATGGGTCAATACAGGAGCTGCCCAACATTGGTCAATATAGGAGCTGCCTAGCCATGAGTCAATATAGGAGCTGCCTCTTGGCTTCCTCATTTGCTATCTTCTTATCTTCTAGCTTTGCTGTGGAATTTTAAGGTGAGACTTGTACAGTGGTCGTGTACATTGTAACACTGGTGGCCTGACGCGGAGGGCGTACAGTGTACTGGAAGCTTTCTCGCTCAAGCTGCTAAATAATATATTGTTGGCTCACATCGCTGATGTGTGAGAGAGAGAGAGAGAGAGAGAGAGAGAGAGAGAGAGAGAGAGAGAGAGAGAGAGAGAGAGAGAGAGAGAGAGAGAGAGAGAGAGAGAGAGGTGGAGAGGAATGCTTCAACAAACAAAACAAGAAAACAAACAAGGAATTGGGTGTTTCGGGCACCCAAGAGCATCGTTTTGGTTCGTTGATGATGATGTTCCACTCTTGAGAGATCCACTTCCTCGCTCTCAACAAATATTTGTCGCCAGCGGGGAGGGAGCGCACACGCACGCACGCACACACGCACGCACGCACGCACGCACGCACACACACACACACACACACACACACACACACACACACACACACACACACAGTTTCAAGTGTAGATATGATAGAGCCCATTAGGCTCAGGAACCTGTACATTTGTTGATTGACGGTTGAGAGGCGGGACCAAAGAGCCAGAGCTCAACCCCCGCAAGCACAATTAGGTGAGTACACACACACACACACAAGATGATCGACAGTTGAGAGGCGGCACCAAAGAGCCAAAGCTCAACCCCCGCAAGCACAACTAGGTGAGTATACACCTACACACACACACCAAAAAGGATATCAGCGGCATATACTGATCGGCTGTAGAAACCTGTGTAAGGAATCATTGTATACCACAATATCAGACCACCAATCCTGGAGTATGCGGCTCCAGCCTGGAGTCCATGTCTAGTGAAACACAAGACCAAGTTAGAGAAAGTTTGCCACAATACTAGTCCCGCAGCTGAGAGATATGAGCCAAGAGGAAAGGTTACAGGAATTATATATCACGTCACCAGGCAGAGAGAAAAAGTTGGTGGCGCCATGGTAACACACTCTCCCCGCTCCTCCATAGCGATTTGGTCTAGCTTCGAGGCCTGGCCAGGTTGGATTGATCAACCTTTAACTGTTCGCTTCTGTGTACCCAGGAGTAATTGGTTGTTATCAGATTAGCGGGTCGCGCTCCAGGGAAAACTGGTCTATAAGGTTAAGGTAAACTAAAATAAAAGGGAAAGTTTTCAGGTTGCTAACAGGAATCAGAAGTGTACTCCTGTACCCACCTGTATAAGAAAGAAAAAATTACTGAAAACATGATTACCAAATGCAATATTTTCTGAGGAATTTATAGGGTTGATAAAGACAGCCTAGCATGCGTGGCACTCGAAAAGGGAACGCAGGTGAAAACCGAGCACCAACATGAGCCAAATTGGCATTAGAAAAAAGAAAAACATTCAGTGACAGAGTAGTTACCAAACGGAATGCATTTAGAAATGAGGTTGTGGAGGCAGATCCTGTACACAGTTTCAAATACAGGTATGATAGAACCCAATAGGCTTTTAGGAACTTTGACACCAATTGATAGGCCGTAGAGAAGCGGGATGAGGGGCCAAAGAGCTGAAGCCTAACCCCCGACACCATAAGTAGGTGAGTCCATACACACACACATACAATTAGGCTAGTAGAGTCACCTTCCAAAGCATTAATAGTTTGTAAATAACAGAAAAATTATTATGACACAGCATTGTTGTTGTACAATGAAAGAATCTGCATTTTTCCAACGTAGTTTTAAGACCATTAACACTAAAGCATTTTGTATTAAACACATTACTGGTTGCGGTATTTTTCGCTGGAAAATTCATTCTCTTCACTGTCGAAAATGCGGTACAAGTGCGTTAAAAGTGCGTCGCAAGTTGCCATATTGTGCGAGCGTGTTTTCACTTGTGTGTAATTATTTCTAGAGCAATTTACCAAACGGAATAAAATTCTTCTGTTCTTTTTATCAGATTTAAGAGAAAGCCAAAAAATCATTTGACTGCATGTAATTGTTTAACAAATTGTGGCTTCTTTCATAATGCATTCATTATACTGCATGTGACAGGCTATACATTATTATACTTCTTGTGACTAGGTCATGCATTATACATCATGTGACAGATTATACATTACACAGCAGTGGTTATACATTAGAGCACTTATAGAAGCTTATACATTATGCTATTAAAGTTTGAGTTTGTTTAGTAACGAAAACGCACATATAAAATTATTCATTAATCATTATTTCACTTATTAGGTAAACAAAAAACAGCTGTTCATCTGGATTTACAAAAATTAATTACATGTCATATACTTAATTTATACAGTATATATGTAAAAACATTTGTAAACGTAAAATGTCAATATGGTGTTTATATGAAAAAAATTATCTCTATTCAGCTGAAAATTTAAGAGCACATTACTGAAGTTTTAACATTACTGAAAGGTTTAACGTAATATTACTGCGGACGTTGCAGTGAGCCTCACACTCTATAATACTCATCAAAGCGGCGGAGCTTCTCCGTGTAAATAAGTTTTTCATTATTGCATACACATACAACTAATTTAATAAATAATAATTAAAATTCAATAAGTAAATAATTCAATAAGCAAATAATTCAATAAGCAAATAATTCAATAAATATTACATGAGTAAAAAATTAAAGACATAACTAAGCAAATGAATAAATACAGAAATAATAAATAAATAAATAATTAAATAAATAATGCATGTAGAGAAACTGGAGGAAAAAAAAACAAAGCCTAGCGTATCTAGGGCAATAATGAACGCCAAGTGTTAATTCCCTTCCCAGTTTCTTCCTTCCTCTGTTCTCCCGTCTATGGTCTTCCTGCCTGTCTCTTCTTACAGCATGACAGGTTATAGAGGTCAACAGCAGCGACTCCTGACTGTCTAGGAAGGTAGACGCAGTCAATTGTACTTTGAAACTAACAGTTCTGGTAATCTTGATATCTTAGCGGACAGTCTTGAAACCCATTACTCTTATGTTATATCAACCAGAGCGTCAGAATGCGGAGGGAGGATAAGTCTTAACAACATGGGGGGTGAACTTTCCAAATGAAATTAAACTTCACTTTTACAGCATGAAAGGCAAAGGAAATGATCAAGATAATTATGAACATTATTGAAATATAACAATTCTTCCTTCTACACAAAATTGTATATTAGGCTATCTCTTCTCTCTCTCTCTCTCTCCCTCTCTCTCTCTCTCTCTCTCTCTCTCTCTCTCTCTCTCTCTCTCTCTCTCTCTCTCTCTCTCTCTCTCTCTCTCTCTCTCTCTCTTACTACTTCCTACCTTTCCTTTATTTTCCACTCCTCCTTTCTTCTCTCTCACTTTCCCCTTCCCACTCTCTTCTTGTCACTGCTTCCACCTCTTCTCCCCCTCTCCACCTCTCTCCCTCGGAGCCCCGCAACACAACATTCCCCCTCACCTCCTGCAGGTCGCCTGGGAGACAGGCACCGAGGCATCCCCTTGTTTTTGTTACCAAGATTTCCCTGTGGTAGCGGGTGTCCCACTTGTGGGAGGGGACGCTGCAGGGGCTGGTGGTCCCTGTGGTAGCGGGTGTCCCACTTGTGGGAGGGGACGCTGCAGGGGCTGGTGGTCCCTGTGGTAGCGGGTGTCCCACTTGTGGGAGGGGACGCTGCAGGGGCTGGTGGTCCCTGTGGTAGCGGGTGTCCCACTTGTGGGAGGGGACGCTGCAGGGGCTGGTGGTCCCTGTGGTAGCGGGTGTCCCACTTGTGGGAGGGGACGCTGCAGGGGCTGGTGGTCCCTGTGGTAGCGGGTGTCCCACCTGTGGGAGGGGACGCTGCAGGGGCTGGTGGAAGGGGCAGGCAGTGGGAAGGAAAAGAGAGAAAGTGTATTCAACTGGTTGTGCTTGCGGGGGTTGAGCTCTGGCTCTTTGGTCCCGCCTTTCAACTGTCAATCAACTGGTGTACAGGTTCCTGAGCTTACTGGGGTCTAACATACTTACACTTGAAACTGTGTATGGAGTCAGCCTCCACCACATCACTTCCTAATGCATTTCATTTGTCAACCACTCTGACACTAAAAAAGTTCTTTCTAATATCTCTGTGGCTCATTTGGGCACTCAGTTTCCACCTGTGTCTCCGAATGCGTGTGTCCCTTGTGTTAAATAGCCTGTCTTTATCTACCCTATCAACTCCTTTGAGAATCTTGTATGTGGTGATCATGTCCCCCTAACTCTTCTGTCTTCCAGCGACGTGAGGTTTAATTCCCGTAGTCTCTCCTCGTAGCTCATACCCCTCAGTTCGGGTACTAGTCTGGTGGCAAACCTTTGAACCTTTTCCAGTTTAGTCATATGCTTGACTAGATATGGACTTCATGCTGGAGCTGCATACTCCAGGATTGGTCTGACATATGTGGTATACAACGTATGTATATACTGTATATATCTGAATTATTCCTTACACAGGTTTCTAAAGGCCGTTCTTATGTTG